AATCCCAGTCTTCCTCCTCCCATGAGGAAGAAGGGCTCTTCTGAAAGAGGAAGCTTTTCCAAATTTGGCCCAGTGTAGACGGGCCAAACTTCAGAAAAGTCTCTTCCAAAAAAGCGATCCGAAACAGGTACGCAAATTGCAGGATGCAATTTGCGTACCCTTTTCAGATCCATCTGTGTAACGTAAACATAACCTCAGCTATCAGCAACAGTATTAGCCCATACCACCACCATCTCTCTTTCTCATAGTCCACCCTTCCACCTCATCCTAGAACTTACGGCTTTTAGGGGGATAACCGAGAATATATATAAATCTATTGTTTAATTGGAAGCAAGAGAAAAAAAGGAATGAAAACCAAATCAAACAGAAGACAAACAATCAGAGCAATCTCTTTGAGGGTCTCTCACCAACTATTTTTAAGTAGATTTGTTGGGTTCTGTTTTCTACACAGGAGTTACCTATCTAGATATCTAAACCATGGGACAGAAGTTTTAAGACTGTGATAATTTTTAAAATATTATTTCAAAAATAACCTGTTATTTTATAGGATCATTAATATGTCATATTCTTCCTCTAGTATTACCCAGAATGCTAATTCAACTATTTAATAGCTTCCAGATTCACAAGTAATTTGGAGAACTGGCTTCTGAAGAGTTTTGCATAAGCTGGCAACAATGCTAATGAAGACTTTCATGCTGCTGAAAAGAGCTTACTAATAAAAGCTCACTAAGTGGTATCAGTAGTCCTACTCTGCACCTCTTCCCAGTCAGAATTTAACAATTCTATGACTCAAACAACAAGGAACACTGAAAGACTATTTTACCTTTGCTGTCATATACATCAGATTGTTTAAAACCATAGCAGTAGCCTGTGGTGATCCCCAGCCTTCTCCTCTTAGCCAGCGCCGACTGTTTACCATCAGTTCCCTGTCTTTTAAAGAATCCTCATCTTCATCTTCATCTTCATGCCGTATTGTTGGCAAAGGTTTCAAATCTACCAACTCAATATTGTTCATCCATGGAAGCAAATAGTGCAGCATCACTTGTCTCCCAGCAGGGTGCGCTGTTTGAATTCTCTGGCTCACCTCTATTATTCAAAATTAACAAACATGAAATGCAAACCTGTAAATATTACTGGAGAAGTTTCTGGAGAAGTATGTTTATAGTTTTAGTATCTCATACAAGACTGAATTAATACTATTACTGAAAATATTTTTATTTAACTGAGAGCAAATGTGCCCTCATAATACAAATGAAGTACACAAATTGCAGCTGAATATGCCTTTTGCTAAACAGATTTATACTATAGAGTTGGAATACTGAAAGTGCAGACAGTATCAACTGATTCATTCATATTTAATATTAAGTAAAACTTAAAATGATCAAATTATAAAGAAGTCAGCCCATACATGGAATCTCGCTATTAAAAGAAAATAGAAAATCAATTAAAATAGATTAATGAATATGAAATATTTAATCCTAATAGGACAGACAGAACAGTCAGCAAAAAGATCATACCAGTTGTCTGCTTAAAGAAACTATGTAATATGACTTTAAAGTTGTTCTAAGGCTCTGATCTTGCAAAGACTTATGCATATCCTTGAAGTCACAGTGTGAAATCATGGATACAACAGAAGTCAATGGCAAAACTCACATTGACTTTAGATCACCAGAATTCAATTCAGTGAGGACTGAACAATGCTTAAATCTTTGGAGGACAGAGTTCTACTGAGTGGGCTAATCTATGGCTTCATGATTTCAGCCATTAAAAGCAGAACTACCCATTCTCTACGAAAACCTAACCACAGAACCTTCTCTCTGCCATTACCAGCCTCAGGGGTAGCTCAAAATATATTAAGAATACAAGAAAAACAAATAAACAATGCTAAAATATATAGGGCTCCAATTCTTCAAAGGAATCTGTCCATTAAACACAGAGTCTACTAAGGACCATCGCATCAGCCAGAGTGACTATGATTGATTGTGTTCCACCATGGATCATGAAGTTTCCAGATCTGGCTCAATCCTGTATATCCATGAATCTCTCTGAGGCAGCTGAATAAACCTTTTGCTGGTTTGGGCGGTGTCAGGTTGAATCAAGTGTTAATCTCTTCATGTGTCAAGAAGAATTTGAGATTAGTGTGTGCTGGTGTGGTTTTGTCCATTCTGTTGACATAGCTGAAGAGCACACAATATCATTTATGAATATAACGAGTGACCGAAGGAATGCCAAATCATTGCAAGACTATGACATTTACAAAAAGTCAAACCTTACATGCTCAGTTTTTGGCAATGACAGTACATATGGAATCCCTCTAGTTTTCCAAATCCTCCTGTAAGAAAGTTCAGTTTCTGACCCATATAGCAATACAGGGAGCATACAGGTTTGACAGATCCTGAACTCTATTCTTGGCACAAAGGTGTTTTTGCATCTAAGAGACATGGACTACATTCAGGAAGTGACAAGATCTATCAAGTGAAGAAGAAAAAATTACTAATCGGCTCCATAATTATTGTGCTCCAAATGTGTTGCACACTCATTCTACTTCAGGAGTGGGCACACTCAGTGCACCATTGTCAGAGACTTTGCCCTCAGCAGTATGTTCGCTCATGTGCTCTCTAGGGCCTCCTGCTGCTGCATGTAACATGCTCACTGCTCATAATTGTTAGAATGTATCTCCTTGCTAGTGCATTTTTTCCTCTTTATATGTTAGATAATACCTCTTTTAGTAGATTATTTTTGCTTAGTTATGGATACAAGATTTCTGTGTTTTCAAAACACCTCAGTTCCTGGATACTGGTAGGGGTTGCTGGGGCATGATGCAGTCATCAGAGTTTAAACCCTGCCAATTCCACAAGAAACTGGTATCAGTGAATGACCCATACTCCAGCTATCTGAAATATCTTGGGGAGGATTCAGTGTCATGTCATGAAGTGTCATGTCAGGATTCAGTGTCAAATTTACAGAGACTTTAAACCTAAAATCAAGACAGACAGGACCAAGCTTAAGCTTCTGTGAATGGAGGCAAATCTGAGCCCATCATCAGAGTTTATTTGTTGAAGAACATCTGGTTTATTGTGACTGAACTCTGCTTGCAGCCTAGGTAGACAAACTCATCAATACTCTCCAGGGTACCCAACCCCACCTGAACTGGGGGTTCCAAGTGTCCAAGCTACAAGGTTCTGGATGTTAATCTTCTGGCATTACATGTTTGACACAATTGCATGGACAGCATCTTGGACACCTGGGAATGCAAGGCTGAAATTCTCCCACTTCTTCACAAACAAGACTGTGTCATGAGCATAGTCTTGACTGGAAAACATTTCTTGACCAACCTTGATTCTGATGCAAGGAATGGAAAGTCCTAATATACAGTCAATAGCTCAACATAACAGTTTCAGGGCAAGAATGTAACTCTGCCACACTCCTGAGGGTGAAGTGAAAGCTGTTTACTAGGAATGTTAAGTAGCGATTAATTTGCTAATTGAGGGAAATTCCATCGACTAGTCAAAAAGCACTTCTGCATTCCGCCTTTGAAATGTACAGGAGCCCCAGGGGGGGCTCTTGTGCATTTCAAAATTGGAACGCTACATGGAGCCCAGAGCCAGCAGGAAGTCCTGCTGACTCTGGGCTCCACACGCGTGCTTCTGCTTTGAAATGCACAAGAGCCCCTACTGGGGACTCTTGTACATTTCAAAGCTGGTATGCAGTGTGGAGCCCAGGGGTGAGGGGCCAGCGTGGAGTCACCTGCTCATCGCAGGCCCCATATGGGCGCTTTTGCTTTGAAATGCACAAGAGCCCCTGCTGGGGACTCTTGTACATTTTGAAATAGAAGTGCCTGCATGGAGCCCAGGGTCTGTTGGGGAGTTCCCAGCTGATCCAGGGCTCTATCCGGCATTTCAAAGCGGCAGTGCCGTGCAGACCCCAAGTGACCCCAGGCTCCACACAGCTCTTCCGCTTTGAAATGCCGCGAGGAACCTGATGCCAGGCTCCCTGTGGCATTCAAAGCGGCAGTGCTGCACAGAGCAACTCATCCTGGGCTCTGTGTGGCACTGCTGCTTTTAGGTATCCTCCTCTTTTGCCCTTCCCCTCCATTGCCTGTATCTGATAAAGGCAGCAAGCAGGTGGGAGTGACTAGTCGACTAGCTGATAAGCAAATGCTTATCAGATAGTCAATTAGTCCTTTACATCCCTTCTGTGAAGCACTATGTATTCTTGCACCAGATTTAACAGAACATTTGGAACACCAACTGCTTTTGATATGATCCAATGTGCTGACCTGTCAACCAAATCAGAAGTTGCTTTGATGTTGAAATGTGCCACAAAGCAGGTGTTCAGAATGTAATACAGTCAGAAGCTGGAGGGTAAAGACAGCGTCCATTGTTAACTCTCTGCGGTGAAACCTTATTTGCTATAGATGATAATATCTGTTAAGGAGTGGCTGTATCCTACTAAACAGAATGTAAGTGAAAGTCTTTCCAGGAACTGATAAAGAGACTGGCCTGTAATTGCTCACTCAGTGAAAGATCCACTGCTCTCATATAGAGACATGAAACCTTTGCATTCTGCTGGTATTCTGCATGTCTAAGAACATGTCTATACCGGGCCACCCACGTGCACTGTTTCTTAAGGCACTTTTGAGCAGTTTGGGTGGAATACCATCAGGTCAAGCAACAAATCCATTTTGAAACATTTGGATGGCCTTTCATGCTTTTTAAGTGACAGAGGATCAGTGTTAGTCCCTGGATGTGCAGCTGTGTAGTTTGTGTCATGTCACAGAACTCTAGACAGCTATGAGGAGGTCCATGGTTGAGCATGTTTTCATAATGTGTTTTTCATCTGTCTAGAACCTCATCCATCAATGAGCAGGGAGAGCAGTTTGGTTTCATAAAAGGATGTGAGAGAAGGCTGCCAGCCAAGCATGTGATGGCTCTGTGGAAAGGATTCAGATTATTGTTCATAAGTAGCCTTATATCTCTGTGGAGTTTTGTTAAAAGGCTTCCTCAGAGATGTTCACAGGTAGATTCTTTTATGGGATTTGGGTTTAACATAGAAATACTCTTCATACATTAATCTATTCACATTGATGCAAACTGAAAAAAAATCAAGATTCTTTCTCTCTCACTTCAGACTATTATCAAATATTTCACTTAATTATGGAGCCAAGATCTACAGGATAAAAAAGGATTATAATTTTGGCTTTCAATTTTTATTGTGCTTATTACGGTGTTTAAATTTGACTGCAGATAGGTTAGCACATACAACTTTCTAAAATAAATTTATTATGTTAATTTTGATTGCATAAACTCAAGCAACATTAGTTTTTTAAAATATGAGAAATTTAAAAAAAGAGGCTTGTTTATTTATGCATCATTTATTCCAAAATTAAATGGAAACAAATACTTTACTACACTGCTGCTATATACTACCAAGAAGTGAATCTCAGAGTGAGAGAGCAAGAAATGGCATAGGCCATACTTCACAGCAAAGAGAATGTGCTGGCATGTTAATTCTCTTGGAAATCCCTTTCAAGTACATCTGCCATTTAAAGTTTATTTTTACAAACTGATTCTTGTACAATTACAATCTGTGTTTTATCAGCTATTTTCAGTACAAACTGAAAAACATGATTCTCAAGTATAGAAAAACTTAATCAGATTTTTATTTCTTTAATCATCATGATTGTGTCGCCTTAATTGATCACTTGAAAGTGAACTGAAAACCTAAATCAATGTGCTTTTAATTTTAGAAAAATGTGTTAATTGACTCTACTAACTAGACCAAAATGAGTTAAAATGATTTGTGTTGAATAACCAATGGTTAAAAATTCTATCCATTGCCAGTATCCTCTGAATATATCTTTGTTTGCTTAGATATTCAAGAGTCATTCTGTGCCCTGTAGTACCAGAAATATTACTCCAATCCATGCAAGCCACTGTATCTTATCTGTCACAAACTGAGGTGTTCTGGGATAACTGCAGCAAATAAAAAAATCTAAGATGGGGGAAGGACTGGGGCTTAGTAACCAATCTATAATTGGTTTATGGAAAACAAGAATTCAAAATTTCAAAGGACAACTTTACCATACCTGAGAAGATAGCAAGAGTTAACTCAGGGTATGTCCTTGCTAATTCCTCTGACAGTTGATAATATGACACAGAATACAGGTGTGGCAAAGGAGAAGGCTGACCCAGTAGACCATCAGTTCTCTGAACCTCCAATTTGTGAGCATAGCGAAATATCTTAGGTTCCAAGATCTGTAGCAATAAAATTCAGATATTTGAAGCTAAATACAGAGCTGGGACAAAAGAAAACTCTACATGGTTATCTTCTGAGGAAATATAATATATATTGTGCCATCATTTCACATTTTGTATCTTAGTAGAGTAATACATTCCTGGCCATCTGAGACTCATTCTCTTTGAGAACCAGTCCCAGCTATTAATTTCCAAGTTCCATTTTCACTTCCTAGTGCATTAAGTATGGGTATGTCTACACTACAGCGTTGTTTCAAAATATCTTATTTCAAAATAGTTCATTCGAAATAAGTTATTTTAAAATAACACGTCTACACACAAAATGCATTTTGAAATAGCGCGTCAACACTGAAGGGATGCTGAATTGCATTGAAGACCGGCCGGAACCAGGTCCAGCAGGGCATCAGGTCAGGAGTTACTTTGTGTGGCTGCTGCCTGAGGCTATCTGAGGCCTGTGCTTAAAGGGACCTCTCCCCCCCACCCTCACCCGGACAGCCCGTTCTCAGCTTTCTCTGCTTGCTTGCCTACCTCGATGAGGGACAGCAAAGCATTTTGTCTCTGCGTGCTCTGGTTGCCCTCACTCGGGACACCATAGCACTCTGCAACATGGAGTGAGAGCTGCCCCTGGGCACTCCGGTGCTTCTAGTGGACGCATTGCTGCGAGCCTGGCTGCACTTTCTGCAGGCTGCCATCCGAGAGGTCCATCGGGGGGCTGTCAGTATCCAGGAGGCCCTACGGGAGAGCTTCCACCCTGAGGAACACTAAGAGCCTCCCTGGTCTGCCCCACTGGGGGCTTGTGCCTCATTCCTCCCTCACGTCCTTCCACTTACCCCCTCCGTAACTCGTCTTCCTGATGTCAAATAAAATACATCTATTTTCATGAACAAAACTGTCTTTATTTAACAAAACTGGAGGGGGGGCGGGGAATGAAACTCTGATGAGACTGGGGAAAGGAGGCGGGAGAGGGGAGGGAGAAACCTGGAAGGAGGGCGCTGGAAGGGGGAAGCAAGGGAAAGAAGGGGGAGGGGAAACTCAGGGGTCTCTCCAGACCAACTTTATTTTCATGAAAACCTGCTCCAGGGTTCGCATGTGGCCTTTGGTGGCCAGACTGGCAGGGGTTCTGCCCCAGCCGCATTCCTTCATCTAGTGAAGAGATCATGGACATTGGGGGCATCCCTCCCAAACCTGAATAAGGTCCACGATCTCCACCCTGGACCAGGAAGGCGCCCGCCTTTTCTGGGCCCTGGCAGGCTCCTGGGAGCGGGCAGACTGCTCCTGGGGAGCAGTGGAGGGCTGACTGCCAGTTACTTACTGGCTCCTGTTTTGAGGCCACTGGGTCAGGGGCAGTGACTGCTGGCTCTGGGCTGTCAGGCTTGGAGCTGGCACAGGCACTGTGGCCAGAGTCAACCCCTTTAAGGGCTCCAGGGAGTGGGGAGGGAGAGGAGTGATCTTGCTTGAGGCTGGAGTGGCCAGTAGGGCACCCTGGGAAGGCTGGAGGCCCCCTCTTTCGATATAAGTGTCTACACCGCACTTATTTCGAAATAGCTATTTCGAATTTGGCGTTATTCCTCGTGGAATGAGGTTTACCAAATTCGAAATAAGTGCTCCGCTATTTCAAATTAATTTCAAAATAGCGGTTTGGCTGTGTAGACACTAGTAAAGTTATTTCAAAATAATGGTTATTTCGAAATAACTTTGCTGTGTAGACATACCTTATAAGTTTTCCAAAATGAAAGTGTAAATAATCCAGACTACTATTGCCATATAATTTTTCTATGACTAACAATTTCTACTTAGAAATGGTTGGGTTGAGTGCATTATCAGGGTTATGTAGGTTAGACTTGGAGTGGCAAAGGTACAGCACATGTTGGCACTGTTTTATTTTAGTTTGATTGATCTTAAGCACTGACATTTACATAGGAACTCAAAAGTGCACAGGCTTGGCCTAACTCTGCTCACATTAATGTCAACAATAAAATTATCATTTAAATCAATAGGAATAGTGTTTAGACACACTTAAAAATCCCACTCATATGTGGGTTAGGGCAGGTGGCCATACAGATGTAGAAGTTAAAATAAGTTACCCTGCCTCCAATGTACTGCTGCCTTTCTAGAAGTTGGGACTGGAAGCACAGAGGTAAGTACATATTGATAATGTCCACACTACATTTTCCTCCAAGTAGATTGGTAAGGGGTAGGTAAAGCTTTGACCTGATATTAAAGGCCTGAAGCAAATTACTACCTTACTGCAGAGCGTGAGGTACAGGGAAAGAATTGCACTTTTCCTGTGATAATCCTGCAAGGGCACTGCTACGCACCAGTCCTTTCATAGGGACAACTTGAAAACCTTTACCTAGCTTTTATTTTTTTTAAAGATGCAATGAAACAATGTGGTTCAGATCCCCAGCTAATGTAAATAGGTACATAGCTCCCTCAAAGTCAATTTATCTGTGCTGATTCATAACAGATAACGGTCTGGCCCTAAATCTTTATTAAAATGCAACAAAAATAATGCACTCTGTATTTCACTGCTGAAAGCAAAGCTGAATATCATAAATATTTATGTTAAACATACAAGAGAATTTCTTAAACATAAAATATTTTAAAATGAAATTTGTTCACAGACCTGTAATAGCTGCATAGCAACTTCATAGATAGCCCTAGCAGAATCAGCTGCTTTAAACAGTATCAGATTTAGAAGGATTACTGTATCACACTGGTAATCCCTACAGAAGAATATAAATATCAGTTAAACATTTTTAACTATATAAGCTATTTTAACTATAAATTAGCTAAACAAAGGTAAATTAATTTAGGTTAAGTATTGCATAGGATAGTATTCAATGCTCTGAAATGTTTAACATTGAAAACAATATGGAAAACACACTACATTTAAGGGAAAACCAAAAAATGATTACATGTAAAAACTGCAATTCAGGAATTTCACAGAACCAGAAGGGACCTTAAGAGGTTATTGAGTTCAGTCCCCTGTCCTCATGGCAGGACCAACCACTGTCTAGATCAGGGGTAGGCAATAATTTTTTGCTGGGGTCCACTTAAAAATTTTTTGAAGTGGCTTCAGGCCACACCGCCTCAAGCAGAAAGGGCAAGGCCAGGATACTATCCTGCTTTTCCACCCACGGACCATGATTGGTCTGGGGGTAGGGGAGTGCCTTTGCCTTCCCCCTTTCCCTCCTCCCGCCCCCGAGGTTTCCCTTAAGTGCCCATGCCCCTGGCGGTGCAAGGAGATTTCATGTGCTCCTCTTTCTAAGCAATTTATTCCAGTGTTTAACCACCCTGACAATTAGGATGTTTTTCCTAACGTCCAGCCTAAACCTCCCTTGCTGCAATTTAAGCCCATTTCTTCTTGTCCTGTCCTCAGAGGCCAAGGAGAACAATTTTTCTCCCTCCGACTTGTAATGCCGTTTTGGAATAGGAAATTTGAAATAGGAAATTTAATATCACTCTTTTATACCTGTTCTGAAACACACTGGCTATGGCTTTAAAACAGCCAGCTGCTACCCGCCTGGAACCTGTGTAACACCGGTCCACAGCCCAATACATGAGGTTACTCTGGTCAGGGTTGAGCTCCAACAGCAGCATAACTGCCTCGCAACCTAACTGATGCACCTATAGTCCAAAAACAAACAGATTGAACAATTAAAGAAAACCAGCAAAAGGCAATGGTTTACAAAATAATTTTATTATGAACAAACTGATATCTTAAAACTAACAAGTTACATAAGCAAGATTTAATTTTTTAAAAATAAAAACCGTAAACCTTAAAAACAGTAATAGAAAAAGAGAGTTTGCGCTATTGCAGAATAAAACTGTGCAGTTTGGACCATGTGACTTCATAGTACCATTAATTTTACCTCCTTCTTCCAGACTTCTTCTACTGGTAAGATTCCCCTCCACAGCGACAGGGCCTGCGCATTACCCCTACCTAAGGAGGCCTGCATGCTCCCCTTAACCTCCACAAGGGTATGTGGAGATTCCCCATCCCGCTGTGAGGCTTCTATGGGGCCTAGCAATTACCCGCTCCCCCTCACCACTTCATCTGGAGTGTGAGGATTCCCTTTGTCTCCTGCCCCACGCCTCCTCATGGGGTTTGGGGATTCCCTTATCCCCTACCTATGCCACTTCACCGGGAGCCTGGGGATTCCCCTCCTTTCTTCCCCATACCCAATGACTCCTCACAGGACCAGGCCTCCTTTCCGAAAAATTACCATCATTTACATAACACATTTTCCGTTTATTTCCGAACAAAACCTAACCAACCATTTCTTGAGTTAAACACACGAGCAATGCTGGGTAAATATTCTAGTAAGTAATAATACAGATTTAGAAGGTGCAAGCTGATTCAGAATATTTGTGCCAATTTGACCTCAGGACTCTCAAATCACTAATGGTTAAGAGACATTTATTGGTGCTTACTATGTTACCTTTTTATCTTGTGAATCCAAAATATTATCCAGCCACTTGTACAAATAACCATCTGATGAGAGTCCTACGTTATCTGCAACAGGGCCACAACACAGTACAGCAGACATTGCCTTTAGAAAGTAATTGAAAAAACAACACGTTTGAATAATCAGATTGGGCTATCACGGTTATAGCTAACCGTTTACTATCAGAGAACTCAACTCAGACCACTGCCAGGAGTTAGGCCACAAAAAACTCTGTAAAACATCTGGCTCAATGAATGTCAGAACCGAATCCTACAGCTCTCAATTCCCACACAAGAGGATCTGTCTGTCCTGAAAAGTTTACAATTGTTCCATACGAGACAACTCATTAGTCTTGCTAGTGTCATACTGTAATGCACTCTTAAAAAGATGGATGATTTGAACAATCCTGAAATTCTCTCTCATTGAGCAACTGAGGGCAGATTAGAGCATGGGAAGCTTAACACTAATATCAACTTGTATTTTTGCAGGATCATACTGAAACTACTGTAGTGGGAAGGGGACAGGAGAAATTCTGCTTAAAATGTAAAATTAATTAATCCAGGAATAATTTTGGGCTGAGAACATCTGCCTGTATCCGCCAGAAAAAGGAAAATTTCATGCTCGGACTAATGGCAAAGAAGTGCAAACTGGGAAAAATGTTTAAGGACAGTAAAGTTAATTTCTCAAATTCAGAAAGTGTTAAAATACCTTCAAAGCACAGTACTGGTGTCTGTTTATCTGCATGTTCCTATCACTGTATCTATCCAGAGGGGTAAACATGATGCTAAACGGACCTGCCCAGTGACTGAACAACATAAAGAGACTGTGACGTAGACTCTGCTGAGGAAAGACACTTCTTCTCTGGTGCACTGTAAGAAAAGCACATACAATGTTTGACCCACTTTTCCCTAAAGTTTCTGTAAACAAAATTTTATAAAAAGAAAAAAAACGCCAAAAGTCTCCAACTGAATTAGCAACAAGCACAGTACTATAAAGGCAAACTTCAACAGCATAACAGCTTATTAAGAAATAAGGTATATATATTTGCATGAATGTCACAGGTATGCAAAAACAGAAGCAATATACAAGAGTTTAACAATTATTAGCCTGAAAAGAAATTTGTTCAAACTGAGCAATCAAGTCTTTTAATAAGAGGAGTTTAATTTTTAGATTTAAAAATACTATCAGTAATCACTTCTGAAAAGTTCACATTTAAAAATGTAAATACCATTTACAGAAGCAAATCTATAACTTTAGGAAGAAAAACATTTTTACTATAAAGCAGAAAACAGTGTGTGTTTCTGGGTAATAAAATAAGTCATCAAAACCTAATAAAGTGTACTGAGCATACCTGGAACATTTTGAATGATATTTGCCACTAAGGCACTAAAATGGCATCGGATATCTTTCAGTGTGTCCGAGTCCTTTTCATTTTCTGCCTCCAGGAGTTGTCTAGTTAGATCGACATACTCTAATAAAGTGTTGTTGAGGGAATGTGTTTCATTATCAAGGCCACCACTTGCACTTAAAAATAAAATATTCAGAGCATTATGATTAGAGTCACACTATATATTTCTTAAAAGCTTCAAAGAATATAAAAAAAATCAAGAATTTTTAAAAGACTTTTTACTAAACAGTAATTTTGTTGGAATTTGGTTGGAGGCCCTTTCTTGCCACATTTTTGTCGTCTTAGCAAGAAAAACACTAATGAAACTGGACCCAATAACCAAGCCTTTGTAAATCAGAAACCTCTAAGACTACTACAGAATCATAATTTCTTGTAACCAAGATTATGTCTTAACTCCTTCCTATCCTTCTGCTCCCCAGAAAATGCTTTCTTGTTATAAATAAACAAGGTATGCACATAAAATAAATGTGGAAGAGTGTGTGTATAACAGAATACTTGTACTGGCATGATTTTTTTCTCTTTAAATGTATACAGTGATATGTTTACATCACAGAAGGCAGTCAAAGAAGCATGCCTTGCATTTGGAGCAGAAAATGGTTAACTTTGATAGTCCTCAGTTCCTTAAAGAGTTTGTTCCACAGACTCAGACTGGCAATGGGGAAAGTTCTTGACAGACTTGTCAACAACTATCCTCACCCTAGAGTTTACAAATGTTTTTGGATATGTTTAACACAGGTCAGTGAGTACCCTGAAGATAAGGACTGAGACCTGAATATTATTCATATTCTATGGCAGGAGTGGGGAATCTAAGGCCCAGGGGCTGGATACAACCCAAAAAAGGTTCCCCACTCCTGTTCTATGGCAAGCACTGTAGAAAATGGAAGACAGATCTGATGTACTGGCAGTGGCCTATATTGCTGAGGAGATCCTCTACTAGCTGGTGGATTTACACTCTGGTATTCTGCATTGCTGTAGTGTGTTGTCCACCTGGGAGGGGACAAAAAAATTTTATCACCAAAAGAATGCCTTGGCCCATGTGAATGGGACAGTCACTTAGCCACTCAGATGGTAGGTGTTACATAGCAACAGCATCTAAGAGTAAGTGCTTTGTGTTACTAAGGAATTCTACACTACAAACTGAATTCATCAACTGTGATTTATATCTTCATCAAAAGAGATCGCACTGCACCTGAAAATTGTTCTACCACTGGCCATCCTACCCACTATCTTACTCAGATTCAGCTTCAACCAACTGCCCTTAATCAGTACAGATAACTAACAGTTATGCATGATAATATGATAAACATTTGTCACCATCATAACTGTGAAATAAAAATATTTCCCCTTTGAACAAGTGTTTCTGAAATGTTTAATACTGAACTTTTGCATATCTAATTGTACATGTTCACTTGCACTGGAAAACCTTTTATCATAATATGGTGGTGGCACCAGCCCAGACCACATAGTTGTCAAGGTTTATGCTGTGCAGAGGCTAGAGCATACAATAGCATAGTGTACAAAAGTTTAAGTCCAACCTCAGTTAAATTGTTTAGCAAGAGAGTTTCCCAAGGCCATAATTCTGCAGAGGCATCCACCCAAATGGTATACACTGTATGATTAGCATAGGTAGGAATCTTGAGGAAATAAGGTGCTACACAGATTTCTTTGCAGGATGGAAAGCAAAGTGTCTCTTATTTTACATAATATTTTATTGGACGAGCAAAAACTCTTCCACAAGAGAGCATCTACACTGTCATGTGCTTTTGCTCAAGAGATGTGCTTTTGTGCAAGAGCATCCATGGCAGTGTAGACGCTCTCTTCTGCAAGAAAGCTCTGATGGCCATTTTAACCAAGGGGCATCTTGCACAAGAAATTCATGTTGCCTGTCTACACTGCCCTCTTCTGGAAGAGCTCTTGCGCAAGAGGGCTTATTCCTCGTGGGGAGAGGAATAACTCTTCTGGAGGAAGCCCTGTTTTAAAACTATACTGTAAATTTACTTCTTGAAGAAGGCTCGTGCAGTGTAGACAGCCTGCAAGTTTTTGCAGAAGCACAGCTGTTCTTCTGCAAGAATCTTCCAGTGTAGACGTAGCTTAAGAATCAAAAGTCAAACTATTTGGTATAAAGTTACACAATAACAATGGGAGATATATTCACCCTTTCACTTTTTAACTTCTCAATTCTCAAAATTTACAAGAGACTATTTATTACCAAAATTCTGCTTGATTTACAAATCTTAAAGGACGTCTATAAAAGTGATACCTTACATTTAGGACAGAATAACAAAAAATTATATTCCTATTTCCCCTGACCCCAATGTCTTTTAAATTTCTTGGGAAGAGGAATGTTAAGTATTAATAGATCATGTTTTCTTCTTTTCACAAGATCCATTGTACGATTTCGAGATACTACTGCAGGAAGAGCCCTATTAGACTGTCTCCAGCTTGAGATCTGAACTGTAAAAGTAGCTCAAGGGCTTTACATTTGATGCTGTAGCTTAACTCATTCAATACTGACAAGGTCCTATACAAAAAAACCACACATGCAAATACATGCTTGTCTGTCACACGTACATATCTTGTTAAAAATATAAGACTTTCCATGGCATTTCAAATAAAACAGAGTGGTCAGAAACTTAATAGGTGTAACTATCGATACAGATTAACATACCTTTTGGCTACGTCTAGACTGGCATGATTTTCCGCAAATGCTTTTAACGGAAAAGTTTTTTCTTTAAAAGCATTTGCGGAAAAGAGCGTCTAGATTGGCACTGACTCTTTTCCGCAAAATAACTTTTTGCGGAAAAGTGTCCGTGCCAATCTAGACGCGGTTTTGCGCAAGAAAGCCCTGATCGCCATTTTTGCCATCGGGGCTTTTTTGCGCAAAATAGTTTTTAGTTGTCTACACTGGCCCTCTTGCGCAAAAACATTTCCAGAAAAGGCCTTTTGCCCGAACGGGAACGTCAAAGCATTTGCGCAAGAAGCACTGATTTCAGACAGTAGAACGTCAGTGCTTTTGCACAAAATCAAGTGGCTAGTGTAGGCAGCTGGCAAGTTTTTGCGCGAAAGCGACTGCTTTTGCGGAAAACTTGCCAGTCTAGACGCAGCCATTATGTTTTTTAAAATAGAATTTACAAATTCCTAGCAGATTTTTGTTTGCTTTATTTGATCTTTAAAGGAAACATGGAAACAAGGTAAGATGTTGATTATTTTGTTACTATAATGAAATATTATTGACATTGAAATCCTCTCAAGACTAATGAGGAATAATTCCTTATGAGAATTATTGTGTATTCTGCTGCTCTACAATTTTAAGTGATTGTTCTGTTGTACAATAAGGTGAAATAAATAAGGTGTATAAAGAAACTATTGCTTCTGAATTCAGACATTTATTAGGGCACTAAACAATGCCTTCTTATCACTCCATGCCTACCTGTGACTAATAACACCAGCATCTGCCAGCAGTTCAAATATTCGCACTAGCTGTACTCGTAAAATATCTCGACGCCTGCGTCGTTTCATATTCTGTTCAATGGAAAAATACAAAATTACAAGAAGTAGTTGAGTAAATTAAGGATAATATCAGTTTGGCCTACAGGGGCACTGAAACAGTCATGACTCCACCCATGTTAACACCACTACAGTTTTCATTAGTGAGTCACAGCCTTTTTTTGTTTCAACAGTTAACAGATTTACTGTACAATTTTAATGGACTAGATTATGGGTCACACACATTTCTTGTGTAACCTGTCAGACTTCCATGCAGAATACTATTTACTACTTTTACAGTATACAATGGAAAATTATTACTCCACAGTTTCAACTGTTATGTGAGAGTGATTCACCTATGGGTTTTTGTAATAAAATGCAATAAATAATTAGAGCAAAGTTTAAAAATACAAAAATAATGAGAATAGGAGAGTTTTGGTCTGATTTATTTTATATGCTTTTCAAATACCACTGTTTCTACAAAGCTTGAACTGAGAAAGGACAGGCTGGAGCAAGGGGTGGGAGAAAATGTTACCCTAACAAATAGTTTTAGGGTCACATTTCCTCTTCCCTCCCCATCCCACCCCCCACAACTAATCCATGGGACTATTTGTGGAATAAGATAAGAGAACAGAAGTTGGCCTTTAATAAAGCTACAGGTAGAACACCTATGGTCTGGCACCTTTGGGACCTGATTGGTCCCAAACAAGGGAATTTGCTCGACCAGAGGAGAAACCCTGCTACTAGTTCTGCAGACCATCTTCCCTTCCTGCTGCTGGCCTCAGCCACCTCCGCTCGCATCCACTGGGCTGCTGTGGCCCTGGCAGCCCAGACGACCCTGGCCTGAACCCCACTATTGGAGATGCTGTGTCTCCAGCCCTGGCCCTGCTATCAGAGCTGCCACATCTCTGGCCCCGGCCCTACCACCTCAGTTGCCATATCCCCAACCCTGCTATTGAGGCTGCTGCAGTGCCTGCTGTACTGCCAAGGCTCCAGCACTGGTCTCAGCCCCGTCAGGCTCCAAGCCATCAGCTCTCTTGCCACTGGGGCCCCAGCCAGGACTCCCTGGTCCAAGAATTCCCATGGTCCTGCCAGACCACAGATATTGCCAGATGAGGGAGACCCGATTTTGGGAGGTTCAACCTGTAATAACTGAAGAACTAGGCTCTGCCTCCCTTACTCACACTGGAAATACCATACTTTGTGTAAGTTCCATTTAAATCAATGGGTCAACTCAGCCAGCGTAGTGATGGCAGAATCCAGGTCTCAAATTGTAAACTCTTAAGGGAGCAGATGCATTTAATTTTGCTTCTTACTCACAAAAGATGTCAGATGAATATCAGAAAATACAAAACAAAATAAAATCAGAAGAAAAAGAAAAGAAGGAAAACAATTATCCATACAGTTTACCATTTGAGCCAAATGGTAACTTTAAATTCTAAATAGTATAGTCTTCTTATTCCAATGATGTACCAACTGAACTCAAACCATTGAGTTAAACATGAATATCAACACATGGATACATTTCTCTGAAATTAAATTTGACGCGTAATCTTCTGTAACATTATATTGCATCTGTACACTTCAGACCCCCATACTGATGAGCATAGGTACACATAGGGCTCTCAAATAATGCATCATGGCATATTGTTGTGTGACAGAATTTGAAACATAGGGCACATCTAAACTATATTCCTCTTTCAAAAGAGGAATGTAAATGAGACATCAAAACAGCAAATGAAGCACAGATTTAAATATCCTGTGCTTCGTTTGCATATTCGCATCTTAGCGCTTTTCGAAAAACCTTTTCTCGAAAGTGAAAGCGCAGTCTAGACGGGTTTTTCCTTGAAAGAACCCCGTCTAGACTGTGTTTTCACTTTCGAAAAACACTTTTTCGAAAAAGTGCTCGGACGCGAATATGCAAATGAAGTGTGGGATATTTAAATCCATACTTCATTTGCACTTTTGATTTTCCTCATTTACATTCCTCTTTTGAAAGAGAAATGTAGTCTAGACATAGCCTTAATGTATGCTTCTATCAGCTGTACTTAATATAAAATTCAATGCAATGATCACAAGCAAAACAGTTATTATCTAAGGTACCTATCAATTGTCTTTTACTTTATATCTGTATAGCACCTATCACACTGGTGTCTTGATCTTTATTAAGGACTTCACATGTTATCAAAAAAACAACACATTGTTTTATGTCATCTTATTTTTCTTTGAACATACAGACATACAGACTCACTGTGAATTAACAACTCTTTTTTGGTTCCTCATTTCCAGGGCTCACCAAGTGGCGGCGAGCCCTGCTCGCCAGCTGCGCGGTTCTGTGAGCTGCGCATGCGCAAATCGCGCTGCACATGTGCAGATCGCATAGCGCCGGCTATGCCGGCTTGTAATCTACTCGCCACGGGCAAATAGATTACATGATTTGTTGAGCCCTGCTCATTTCAATGTGTACACCATGTATACCGGTGATATGCTATGTATCAGAGAAGCCTTTCTGATCGGACTGAAAGGGGTCAGGTAAGTTAATGTTTTCTCCAAAAAGCCATATTGTTCTTGCTCCTATGGACAATGCACTATAAGCCTCTCTGATTGATGGGATGCCACCAATACAACATTCTGAGCAGAAGCAAACAGACTGCATTAGGTCTGGATATCAGGACATAAAAAATAAAGGTGGAAAAATATTTTAAATGATTAGCTATTACTACAAAAATTATTATGGCAAGAGGGGCTTTCAGTTTTACATAGTTTTAAAGTTAAGGGGATGACAATTATATTATTTTATTTATTTTTAACTTCTATGCAAGTCACCACAAAAGAAATAAAAAATGTTTAGACAATGTTAGTTATTTATTTCAACTACATTATTGTATTTAGCCATAGCCATCAAAGAACAGATAGTAATATTTCTCGATTATGTTTCTGGAAAAGTATCTATAAAATAATGCTGAGCACAAATAAAAATAGTCTTAATTACCTCTGGCCTTCTTTCAAGTGCTTCCTTAATTATAGGATGTAATTCCTCTATTAGTTCCCTAGATAAAAATGATAGATCAATCACTGAATTAGTAGCGAAGATGCAAAATGTCTTACAAAAATGAATGTTTTAAACATACATTAAAAATGAAAATATATCAAGTTTTGCTTTCATTGACAGTGACTTTATTAAACAAATATTTAAAAGAGAAGATACCAACTTTCCTAATATTCAAGATACAACATCAATCTCACCTTTCCTAATATTCAAGACACAATGTCAATCTCACCTTTCTCCAAATAATTTTATAACTGAATCTTGAGCATGCTACATACCCCAACAGTCTCCAGACGCCTGCTAACCCTGACTGACTAAGACAAACTAAATTAACTAAGACAAAGGAGAACTATTTACAATAAACCTGAAATGGAGGCA